GTGTCTTTGAGAGTGAGCTTGTTTGTGTACGCGGGAGTGTAAGTGCGGGTTCTGTGGATGGGTGGAGCTCCTGTGTTTGCACCTGCTCTGAAAGGAGCATACAATGCACGTGTGGCTACAAGTGCATCGTTCACATGCGTGTACTCAAGTGTCTTAATACAATAACAGTGTGTTAAAAATAGAACACGAGGGGCCGGCAGATGGTGTGGTGGTTGAGGTGCTGGACTCCCACATGGCCAACTGCAGTTCAAGTCCTGGACCTGGCAGCTTGCTTTCTCACTTTCCCTTTCTCTCTCTCTCTCTTACTCTGGTCAAATTTAAAATAAAATAATTCTTTAAAAAAATAGAACATGATAATCCTCGGTGCCAGGTACTGTGCTGAACGCCAGACAAGAATATTCCTTTTTTTTTTTTTTTTAAGATACTTCTGCTGCAGGACCTGGGTGCTCACCAATGCGACAGAAAGAGAAAGTGAGAGTCACCCCGAGAGGGGATGGCCACACTGCAATCCCTTCTGCTCCATTCTTTTCTCAGGATTTTGGAAACACACACACACACACAAGCCTGGGGTGAGTTTCAAGCTGCCGGGTCCTAGACTCAAACCATGGTTGGCCACATGGAAGTCCAGTGCCTTAACCACCACATCATCTGCTGATCCTCCCAAACAAGAATATTCTTTTGAAATCCCCCAAACATGAGTAAGGACATGAGAGGGATGTGGGCTGCACCAGGGTGTAGACCTCCATGTGAGCCTGAGTACTGAGCTCCGGCAACAGGCAGGGGTCTTCAAGAAGTTCATGGGGAAGTAAATTAAGTATGAGTTTATTTTGGTGTAAACTTCTTTGACGTCCACTCATCATTTTTTCAGAAAATGCTTTTCTTTTTCTTTTTCTTTTTTTTTTTTTTGTAAAGGTTTTTGCTATAGAGCATGTGTGCTCACCAGAAAGACAGAGACGGGGAAACTGAAAGCGAGAAATCACCCCCCAGGGGGGATGGCCACACCGCAATCCCTTCTCCTCCATTCTCCTCTCGGGATCTTGGGCATGCACGCACACGTGCCTGGCATGAGTTTAAGCCACCGGGTCTGGGACTCGAACCGTAGTCGACTGCATGGGAGTCCAGCGACATAGCCATTATGCCAACTTCTGGTCCCGAGAACGTGCATTTCAGGGAGCATGTTGAAGACCCTCCTTGCGTGACTCTGCTGGAAGGGGCACATCTCAGATGAATGTGATGGATGCTGTCATCTCACCCAGGGGGCAGGGGATCTCTCCGTGTGTGTCTGAGTTTGAATGAACGTGTGGGCGTAAATGTCAGTGATCTGAACGTGTGTGCATGTGTGTGCACAGACATGCGTACAGGGACAACCCACTTCCCTGTTCCTTGGCCGATTAGGATAATTGTGGGTTATTTACCAGCTGCCTGGGCTATGGGAGCCCCCAGCATGCCCACATCGGTACACCATGGTGACAGCAGCATGTTGGCAGGGAGTGCCACTCTGCTCTCTGGAGTCCCAGGCTGCGCCAGGCAGCAAGGTCCCAGCAGAGGGAATGTAGATTGACTACACCAGCTTTGGGGCCGCAGGAGTGCTCTGCAGAAGGACTAGGCTCAAGGGCCCTCACTGTAGGACAGACAGCCACGCCTTCATTCCAGAGGATGGGGCTAACAGGAGACTCTGCATGGGCAGGGCTGTGTCAGTGCGATCCATGGGCATCATCTACCCTTTGGATGTCACCTCCAGGCCAAGGATGAACTGTTCCTGCTCTGCTAGAGTCATGCCATGGCTCCTCGCTCCCTGCAGGATGAGGCCCAGACTCCATCCACAGCACACGAGGTCCACACAACCTGGGCCCAGTCCTCCACAGCCCAGTCTCACGCTCTCCTCTCATGCCCTCCAGACTGAAGTACTCAGAGCCCTTGCAGGGCACACAGCCCCTGGGCCTCCTTGCTGCCCTCCCCTCTGCCGGATTTCCCCACAACGTGACCACCCTGGCTGGCAAGGCCTCACCCTACAGGCTCCACTCACCCTGGCCTCCTGATCCTTCCTGCCTCCCTAGACAAGGGAGAGGAATCCCCGTACACCTGGCATTCCCACAGCCCCTGGATTTGTTTCCCTGTAATCTCACTTCCTCATAGATCCCTGCCTACCCCATCAGACTTTGGACCCAGGAAGGAGGGCAGCGTGTCTCGGTTGTTCCTGGCTTTATCCTAATGCCTAGAGTGGTACCTGCTTGTCGCTGGGTCATAAATATGCCTTAGATGAATTATTCTTAGAAGCCTGTTCTGAGACTGGTGGCCTCAAGCGCCCGTGTACATAGCATGGTGTTCACCCAGACAGGTTCCCGGTTCTCCGATCTCAAGGCTGGGGAGAACCACCCCCTCCTCCACCCTGTCTCCTCCCCCACCCCACCCACAAGTATCACCCTCCCCAACAGGTGTGAAGGTAGTAGTGTTTGTTTTATTTTATTCTTAAGAATTATTTTATTGGGACCAGCAGTTAGCATAATGGCTATGTCGCTGGACTCCCATGTAGTTGACCGCGGTTCAAGTCCTGGACCTGGCAGCTTAAACTCATGCCAGGCGCATGTGTGTGCGTGCCCAAGATCCCAAGAGGAGAATGAAGGAGAAGGGATTGCAGCATGGTCATCCCCCCGGGAGGTGATTTCTTGCTTTCTGTCTCTCTGTCTCTCTTTCTGGCGAGTGCACATGCCCTATAGCAAAAACCTCTCTAAAAAAATAATTATTATTTTATTTAACTTTATTTATTTATTTATTTTGATTTGACCAGAGAGGGACAGAGTGAGAGAGAAGAAAGAGAGAGGGAAAGTGAGAAAGCAAGCTGCCAGGTCCGGGACTGAACCATTGTCGGCCATGTAGGAGTCTAGTGCCCTTAATCACCACACCACCTACCAAAGGCAGTAGAGTTTATGAAGTGCTTTTACAGGAGCCCTTGGGAATCACCAACACCATCCCACAAGTGAAGAACCTGAGGCTTGGAGAGGCAGGATGGTGGAGTCCTAGTTTTCCCAGGACCTTCCCAGTCTGGGCACTGAAAGTATTCAGGGAAGAAGGCCAGGTCGCCCTTCCCATCCGGGGTGTCTGAGTGAGGGGCAGACTCCGCACTGAAACCTAGCACTCTATCCCCTCCCTGCTGGCTGCCTCTGGGCTGCCTCCTGAGCCGCACACGGTCTCTGGTTCCTCGAAATCCCTTGAAACCCGCAAGGACATCATCTCCCCTTTAGCCATCCCCACGGGCACCCTGGCTCCCTCTCGGACTCGGAGCACCTCTCCCCAGGAGCATGTGCTCACCGAGTGCGGGCATTAATATTAACCCAAATCAAATACCATTCAGAAGCTCTTATCTGCAGAAAAAGCACTTTACATAATACAGGAAAAATAAATCTATTATTAACATAACTTCATAATGATACAAAAGCAAATTTTAAAATAAAATTAAAGTACAAAAGCTTCACCCACAAATCATTTTCATTTCTCTGTGTGGCCTTCAGGTTTTTCTCCTCAGAGGTGCGTGCTTTTACAGATCAGTACTGTGGCCTAGCTATCCAACTCGCTCTTTGCACTGGTTCAGGCTCTCCTCATTCAGGGTTCTCTGTCGCTAGCAGTCCTCGGCTCAGGCCACAGGGAGCCCAAGCTCAGGGCTGCTCCTTCCTGCAGGAATTCCCAGCACGGGGCCCACAGGGCTGCACTTGCCCATATGTGCAATTCTCAGGGCAGGAGACAGACCTTTCATCAGGTCCTGAAAAGGTTTCTTTTTCTTTTTTTTTAAGATTTTTGCTATAGAGCACATGTGCTCACTGGAGAGACAGAGAGACAGAAAGTGAGAAGTCACCTCCCAGGGGAATGGCCACACCACAGTCCCTTTTCCACTTTCTTCTTGGGATTTTGGGCACGCGTGCATATGCACCCGGTGTGAGTTTCAAGCCTCTGAGTCCGGGACTCAAACCGTGGTTGGCCATGTGGGAATCCAACGCCTTAATCACTACGCCAGCTGCTAGCCCCCAGGTCTGAGGCCTGAAGAGGCTGAGATCCACAGGTCTACAGCGCCCAACCCCTCATCACACTCCCAGAGCCAACGCCCACCGTGTGCTTTACCTGCTCCACTTGGGCTAACCCAGGAGCTCAACTCTTCCCTTACAATAAACCCCACTCTTGACTCCCATGAGGCTCTCCAGAAGAAAATCTGACTCCTCTCGATGAGGAGTACACCCTGGTAATTATCCCGACCGCAACACCCACCCCCTGGGAACGAGGGCACCGACTAAGGGAAGAGATGGTGGGCGAGGTGGAGGGCCTTCCTCTCAGTCCTTTCCCTCTTGCCGTCTTCCCCATCAGGTCTGTTCCAGGCTGAAGGTTTACTTTCCAGCTTCACGACCTACACTCCCGGGTCCATGCGGATCCTCAGCGAAACCGTCTTCTCAGTCCCACTGTTGCCTGCCAAGTACTCCCACCCCACATCAGGAGTGTCTCTGCTCATATCCAGGCTTCTGCAGGGTCTGCAATGTGGCCGTTCTCAGGAATGGATTGAGGGCTAATTCACTTCCGGATTGCCTCTCCCAGACAACTGGGAGGTTCAAGATGGGGCGAGGCCTTTCTTTTCTTTTTTTTTTTTTTTTAGTTTTAGTTTTTGCTATAAGGCGTGTGTGCTCACTGAAGAGAAATAGAGAAAGAGAGGGCAAATGAGAAATTACCCGCTAGGGGGGATTGTCATGCTGCAGTTCCTTCTCTATTCTCCTCTCGAGATTTTGGCCATGCACGCACACACATAATTTTCAAGCCACCAGGTCTGAGACTCGAACCATGGAGTCAGTCATGTAGGATCTAGCCACCTTAACCTCCATACCACCTGCTGGTCCCGGACTGGGGCCTTTCTAGCATTGCTCAGCCCCCAAGTCTCAGATCCCTGGGACCTCATGGTCCACAAGCGAGGGGCCGACTGCTGGCCGCCATCTTGGTACCACGCTGAGCCAGCCGATCGGGGGATGTTGGGGTGGGGTGCAGCTGCGTTCAGCTGATCCATCCCCAAGAGCAATGACAGCCATGCCAATGGGGAGGCTATGCAGTGATCTCTGCAGGAATAACAATAATTAAATGTTGCTAAGCACTGTGGGAGACAGAGGCACCAGCATAATCACCACAGCTACCAAGGGGATGATAACAGTAATTAGGACCCGCGGTTTCCCAACTACCCCCAGGAGCACTGCCTGGGGTGAGGTTGGCCTCTCAAGTTAGGAAAGTGGGCATCTGTGTGTGTGTGTAGGGGGGTGCTCTGGGGTTGGGGTTTTGGCCATGCTTCCTCTGTGGGATCCCTCCTCCTCTCATCTTCTTTCAACTCAATCTCAACTGACCCCAGACTGGAGACGCAAAAAGGAGTGACCCTCATGCGGCACCCTATTCCAACACATCTTGCCCTAGGCGCTGAGATGTCTGCCCCAGTAAGAGAACTCAGAGGACTGGGGAATCTTGGGGACTTCTTAAGAGGGTTCCCCTCACATCAAAGTAGGCTTTACTGGTCAGTTATTGAATGACACAAAGGGGCTTTGGGGACGGCCAGGAGGGGAAGCCATTATTAACTGTTTGGGTCTTTTCTAAGCCAACAGCTGCCTTTCTGAGAAAGCCTGTGGAAGCTGAGGGAGCTTTGGGGTGAGCACCTTTCTCAGGGCTGTCCTCTGTCTGGATGCCCCCGTCACTGCCCCCAGCCTGGGGTGGGTGACAAAGGTAAGCCCAGCTGCCCGTCCTTTGAATGAGCTGTCACCTCCGCAGTCATCAAGCCGCAGGGCCAGGAAGGAACGTGGAAGCCATCGTCTCCTCTCCAAGGCAGGACAGGAATTCCGTCCACGGCGACCGTGACACGTGGACCCGTGGCCTCGGTCGGAAGGTGACGGAGTTCATTCCATCAGCCGTCAACTCGGAGGCCACAGTCTCCCCTGAACCAGCTACAATCTGCTCCCCTCACACGGCTGCCCATTGGTCCTGGCGCTTCCCAGCGGAGGCACATCGGTGGTGCTTGCTCTTCCTGCAGGTTTGAGAAGATTGCTAATCCCCCCCTCTCCCCCTCCCTTCGGCCTTCTCGATTGTCAAGTCGGAGGCCACCTTCCAACCTCCCTCTGCGGTCACTTCAGCTTCCATTTGACTGCAAGGACCTTGTTAGCCTCCCTGCATCCCCCGCCCCCCCAACTCCTACCTGTGTGCCCTCTTCACCTTCCCTCCAGGTGCAGAAGATGCATCTGCTCCCTTCCTACACCCACTCCTCCCGGGCCTTGCTTCATAAATTACATCCTTTCATGTCCTAGACCTGCTTCTCTAACTTGCTGCCCACTAGCTCTACTCCCTGACTACACGATGATCAGGGGCATTTGATTTCCCATCCAAAAGGGGAAAATAAGCCCGACAGTCTGTCTTGCAAACCCTCAGCCAGCCTCCGATCCACCTGGCTCGCTCTTTGTACCGCCAAACTTTCCGGAGCACAGGGGCACCCGCTGCCTCCACTTCTCCCCCTTCTGTTTGCTCCTCCTCCCGCTCTGATCTGGGTTCTGACACTGCTCGGCCACCGACATCACTCTCTCAAAGGTCACTGGTGTTTTTATGCCACTGTTTCCAAAGACCCTTTCTGATCCTCACCTGCTTTCTGGAGTGTCAGACACTGTGAGCAAACCCCTCCTCCTCCTCCTCCTCCGAATCCTCTTCCCACTTGGCTTCCATGACAACCCTCTCTCCTCACTGCCCTCCTCCTTCACTGACCAATCGTCATCTGTCTGTCCTGCCCACATTGTTGCCAGATCCCTCTCCTGGAAGCACAGCTCTGACAGCTCTCCATAAGCGCTTCTCTGTTCAGAAACCTTCCACGGCTCACCACTGCCTGCAAACAAACAAAAAACCACGGAGCTGTAAAATCACGCAGCTAAAGGCAGTCCAGAGTACAGGCTGCAATAATCTACCAGGGGTTTTTCAAACTTTGGGAAGCAGCAGCATCTTCAAATCCATGAAGAAGACTTTCTCAGAAGCCCAGTGTTTCAAGTACAGGAAAACAATATGCTCTTTAAACATAGCTCCTACTGAAGCAGGGAGTGGAGAGCCCGGGAAATTCTAGGGCTCTCAAAACATGATTTGAAAACCAGTGAACATGTTTAATTCCCGCAGCCTGCCAATGAGAAACCTGAGGTCCAGAGAGGGAAAGCGATGGGTCGAAAGTGGCACAGGATGTGACTCAGTCAATCAACACACTTTCCTTAAGTGCTGCACATCCTAGGGATTAGGGATACAGCAGGGAACAGGACTGACCTGGGCCCTGCCCCCGAGGAGTTGACAGCCTAGTGGGGAGTGAATCGAGTATTATAAACAATCACAGACGTGACTAGGAGTGTGCAAAGAGGGCTGCAAGAGGATATGGGAAGTGACTCACCTGCTTTGAGGGATGAGGGGGTCACCAGGAGGAAGGGACACACGTGAACTGAGTCCTAAAGAACAAGGAGCTGTGAAAAACAAGAGGACAAAGGTTGGTGCCCGGGGACAGCCTGGAGGAAAGCAGAAAAGGCAAGTTTGGTGGCTAGAACCTCAGGAAAGGCCAGTGGTCCTACTCAAGGCCCAGGAGCAGGGTGAGATGAGACCGCAGAAGCAGACAGGAGCTCATAGGCCTTGCTGACACTGGCCAGGGTTTGGCACGCCAAGGGAGGATTCTCAGGCATTGCGATCTAATTATTTGTGTTAGAAGAAAATTCATAGCTAAATGCAATGTGATACCCCAGAGTGGATTCTGGAACTGAAAAATAGACATTAGTAAAAACAAAAAACAAAAAACAAACAAACAAAAAAACTGGGGAAATCTGAACAAATTCATAGATCAGCCAATAGTATATGAATGCTAATTTCTTAGTTTTGATAAATGCCCCGTGGGCTATGTGAGACGTTAACATTCAGGGAAACTGGATGAAGGGTATATAGAAACTACATATTGGCAATTCTTGTAAATCCAAAAGAATTTCAAAATAAAAAGTTTTTAAAATACTTCCACCCTCGGGAACCAGCAGTTAGCGTAATGGCTATGTCGCTGGACTCCCACGTAGTCGACCGCGGTTTGCGTCCCGGACCCGGTGGCTTAAATCTCACACCGGGCACGTGTGCGTGCGTGCCCAAGATCCTGAGAGGAGAATGGAGGAGAAGGGATTGCGGCGTGATCATCCACCCTGGGGGGTGATTTCTTCCTTTCTGTCTCTCTGTCTCTCTCTGTCTGGCGAGCGCACACGCCCTATAGCGAAAAAACCTCTCAAAAAAAAAACAACAACAAAAAACTTCCACCCTCTGGCAGAGAGGAACACAACTGGATGAGGAGAGATAGACCACAGTAATAATGATGACTAACACTGAAACAGTTTTTCCTGTACACCAGACATTGTTCTAAATACTTAACATGTTTCATTCATTTAATCCCCATTACTCCATGAAGTCGGTGCGATTATCTCCCCCTATTTTACAGAGGAGGAACTTGAGCACAGAGAAATTACTCGCTAGCTACCGAGTGGCAGAGCGGGAGTTTAAGAATTCAAAGCCAGGCAGTCTAGCTGCAGAGTCCGGTGTGAGTGACCATTATATTTGACGTCCTCCCCTCGATGCATACAAGCCATACCAGATGGTGTAAGGACCAGGCAGAAATCACGAACACATAGACTCTGGTGACAACATCAGGAATGGAACAATGTCATTAGACTTAAAAAATATATATGGGGGAGGAAGAATCAGTGAGGTTTTTCATTGGAATGTTGCGGTTGAAGAGAGAAGAGGAAAGAATGATTCTTCCTGGGCTTGGGGCTTGATGAAGGACCAGAGCCTACTCTCCTGACACTTGGTCTGTGTTTCTTTCCTCCACTAAAGAAACCTTCCAGACCTTTCCCAGTCTCACCACACCTCCCTGTCCCTTCCTTTTACATATCCCCAAAGCAAAGCAGACCATCCGATGTTCTGACATAGGCAGAAGTTCTCCCACTTCGTGTATCTTCATGTCCTTGTTCGAGCGGTTCCTTCTGCTGGAAATTCTTCTACCTCCCTTGGTCCCAATCTGATCTGTCCTTCAAGGCTTCAGTCAAATATCACTTCTTCCAGCAGCCTTCCCTACTTGTTTTAAGATGAGTAAGGAACCAGCAGATGGTATAATGGTTACATTGCTGGGCTCCCACATGGACAACCACAGTTCGAGTCCCAGACCCAGCAGCTTGAAACTCATGCTGGGCGTGTGTGCATGCATGCCCCAAATCCCAGGAGAATGGTGGAGAAGGGATTGCAGCGTGGCCATATCCCCTGGAGGGTAGTGATTTCTCGTTTCTGTTTCTCTGTCTTTCTGTCTCTCTGGCAAGCACATGCATCCCATAGCAAAAAAATCTCTCTTTAAAAAAAAAAAAAGTGAACTGTATATCTCATTTACTTACCCCCATCTTCACCCAGGCAACCACACCCCTTACCCCTGATGCACCCTCTCTAGAAGTCCATTTAAGAACAGGCCATCAAAGAAGTCTTACCAAGGATGGCGAAGAGAACAGGGGAGCAGGGAACTAATGGACATTGGTGCATCTGGTTCTGAGCTCTCCAACATGACCAGTCCACTTCCACAGCATACCAGGCAGAGTCTGAGGTCACAATGAACCCAGTTCAGCCCTGGTTCTTTTATTTTTTTGGAGAGGTTTTTCTTACAGGGTGCATGTGCTCGCCAGAAAGACAGAGAGAGACAGAAAGCGAGAAATCACCCCCAGGGGGAATGGCCACACTGCAATCCCTTCTCCTCATTCTCCTCTTGGGATCCTGGGCACACACGCACAAGCACCCGGCGTGAGTTTAAGCCCACCAGGTTTGGGACTCAAACCGCAGTTGACTACATGAGAGTCCAGCGACATAGCCATTACGCCAACTGCTGGTCCCAGCCCTGGTTCTTAAAGCACTTACCAGCCCACTGGGACATTTCTGGTTTCCAGACTGCCTTGCACACACTGGATTTGAGAGGGCATTTCCCTGCTTAGCAACCTCCAATGGCTATGATTCATGGAATCTGTGGGCCTCCCCTCTTTTCAAGTCTTGGGTTCAGGCTAGGACCACCAGTTTGTGGGGCCCCTTCTCAGGTTTGGGAGCCCCCTTCTCAAGGCCAGCTGCTTGCCTTCCTCCTGCTGACTCCTCTACGGCCAACCCAATCTCTTGAATGTCTCCCTGCTGGCACACATACCTTTGTCTGACAGACAGTCCCACCCCACTTTAAGCTAAGTGAGGCACTTCCTCTGTGACCCACATATTCAGTATTTGTTAATAATAACATGTACGTCTTAAGGTCTTCCCCCTTCTAGACATCCCTCCTACTAGGCGGAGTTCTTTCAGGGCAATGACGTTTCTCTGTATCCCCCAGCCTGGAACGGCGGCGGTGTAGGGGTACTGAGTGGGCGGCATAGGGGTACTGAGTGCCGGGTTATAGTCACTAACTGTGAAGGCCTCCAGGGACCTGTGTGGATGCTGGTGTGCACACCATTAGAGCACTTCCCAGGAAACCAGGGGACCCTCAGGGCCAGATCCCAAATAATGGGAATGCAGGCTCTGCCCTTGTCCCTCCTCCTCTGACTCTCCTACTCCCAGGAACTAGAATTTACATTTTATCCAAACAGGCCACTTCCCTGCTGGGGGGTGGGGTGGGGTGGGGGTTGGGCAAGTGGCCAAAGGGAGCCTTGCTGGGTCAGGCGTCTGGGAAGAACTCGGTTGTCCTCAGTGGAGGGCAGCCACCCTGCCTGCCTGCCTGCCCGCCTGCCTCCCCCAGTACAGGAGGTCACCAGGGAAGGGGGAGAGGGCAGGTTCTGCTGCCAAGGGCCCAGACAGCACAGTCGTCGACCCCCCGCCACACCCGGATGTGGTGGGTGGTGAACGGGATAGGGAGGAGTGTCCCTGCCCTGCCTAGGACACCGACTGGACGGGTCACTTTCGCGGGAATTCTGCAAGTTGGTCAAAACAAGGTGCCAGCGAAGAGAGTAGAGCTGTTTCGTACTCTCTTTGGGGAAAGGAGAGGGGAGGTGTTGCTTGGATTTTGGAAAAGGAACCCCGGAAGGGAGCAGAGATTTAAAAGCTCAATGAATCAGAAACGTCAGGGGCTGGATCAGTAATGCCCACCACCTACTTCTCTGGCAGCTTCCGGTCGGCCCCCGCAGACTTTCTCCCCAGTGAGCGTGCAAGCGCCGCAGAGCAGAGGGCGCTCTGGCTACCGGGTTCTAGTCCGAGCTCGGCCACTTTCTGGCCGGGGAGAGTCGCCTTACCCTTCTTCGGGCCTTTGTGTCCTCACCTGTAAAATGGGGCCAGGGTGGAGGGGAGAGGCTGCAGAAGCCCTTTCAGCTCGGACATGACTCGATCCACGATTCTCCTCATGGCAGGCTCCCCCACCGCCACCCCCGCCCCATCTTAACTCCACCCCCGCCAAGCAGCTCGTGCCCCGTCGCCGGCCGCTAGGGGTCACTGCCTCCCTTTGTCAGCGACGGAGGAGGGCGGCCCGCCCTCCGGCCCTCTCCCGGGACGAAAGGCGACTGTAGGGGCATCTCCTGAGCGAGGGGGCCTGAGCGAGACCCCACCGCCCTCGCTCGGGATCCGCCTCTGCCTGGGGCCGGAAGGTGTGTGCGGCGGGGCGGAGGCCGGGCCGGGCCGGGCCGGGCGCGCGTCGGAGCCAGGAGGGGGTTAACGCTAACCCCTCCCCCTCGGGCTGACATCACGGAGAGCGGGTGAGAGGCTGGAGCGCGGCGAGTGAGAGAAAGAGAGGGAGAGGAGCGAGCGCGGCTCGACCCCGCGCGGGGGGGGTC